TTTTTTTAAATCTCTCGCGGATATCACGCAATCAAAATGTCCACGCTGTGTCCACGAGGAAATTTATGATTCTTCAGTACACAGACTCTTTTTCATTTTTCACAAAAATCGATCGACTGCCTGAAGGGTCGTTTGTCATATCTATAACGCGTCTATAAGTCTTCCCTTAAAGTGTTCTAAAAGTTCTAGCATCTATAAAAGGGTCTTTAATTTCGTTCACATCCCGAGACCTCACCGAAATTCAGAGTCCCGACGATGAGAGAAGGTGGGAAACTACGATCGAAGCGTCAATCTTGCAACGCGTACGATTCTATTATTATTATTGTTAGGGAATTGTACTTTGCTAACTCGATTGTATATTCTCGTACGAATAATCTCAAAAGTAACTGGCAAACGCTCGGAGGGCGACTTGGGTAGAAGTTGACAATTGCAGATGAGGATCAAATGTCAAATTTTATGCACCTTTGTTTCAGCGAGCATTATCAATTCGCATTATCAGTTTTTAGCGAACGTTTCTCGATTCTTCGAATCCTTCTCGCAACGGAGCAAGCCTATCGCGCAAACATTTGACCGCGATTCAACTCTCTTAACAGTCGCTGGTGTATAAAAAAATTCAGCATTTAGGAAGATTAAGACGTTAATTATCTCTAATCATTGAAGGTGCAAACGGTGCTTGTCGCATTCGCTTGCCGAACGCGACGCATTGCGTGCGAGTATAAAAGTGGACATCATAAAAAGTTCGCTCTCTAGGAATTAATTAATTTACGCATTTTGTTGTTGTTAAAATTATAAAGAAAAAAAGAAGAAAAAATAACGTTTGCCGAATTTCTACGGCTGACGTCCATTTCTATCGATGTGGATTAATTTTTATCTCGATTAAATTACTTTTTTCTTTTTTAAATCTTTATAAAAAAAAAAAAGACAAAAATGAGTTAAACCGAAATTTAAAAAAAAAATTAATCTACATTGACAAAAATGGGCGTGAATGTCCATATTGCGAATTGAAGAAAGTCATTATATTTATGTGGAGCACCTTGTTTCACATCACTACGTTCGTGCGTATGCATCGAGATTTCTTGTAGCGTCAGAGAGAGAAGGGAAAAAAAAATCAAACACTGTCAAGTAATTGACATATTGAAAGATGGGCGAAATATAGTGCGAGGAGAGGGTGATATTTTTAGTTTGACAAGAGGAGCACGTGGTACGCCGCTCTGAATTCAGTTATACAACATTTATGCTCGAGGATTATTTAATTATGTCAACCTCGCGGTCTCTTTCTAAAATTCAACAGCACGATTCTTCACTTGTTCATAATTCATTCCGCTCCGTGCCCGCAAAAAGCGAAATGAATCAGTGAGACGCGTATCACGAGCTCTCCTTATAAGTACATTCTCGACCATTTAGATCCGAGTTATCCGATTTAAATTTATGTAAGCTCCAATACGAATCGATATCGTCGAATCATCCTAACTCCTATCACCTTAGATAAATAGCGAATATTCATCTCTTTGCTATCGTCTCGACAGAAGCCCTTTCGTTACACTACCTGATGCGCATCGTAAATTTACACCTTAATATTTTAACGTCTCGTCAAGCTTTATTAAGAAAATTTCATCCAGTTCCTCAGTTAATTTGGGAACGTTAAACGCTCTTACTTCTGTCGTTGTGGCGGCTATAGAAATACACAGAAATACCTTCCGGATACAGCTTCTCAAATTCAGCGAACAGTCTCTGTTATTTAAATAATTGATTTTCCAGCGAGCTTTTGATGGAATTAATTCTTTATTGCTCGTTACATCCGCGATATTTCAAGTCAAAAGCATCTGACTGCATCGCGAAATATGCAAATGCTTATTACATAAACGCGTTAGAGAGGACGTATCGATTAGCGTAGTGAAAACACGATACCTCGTGCTCGTCCCATTGATCCATCACACGACAAATCGTGTGAAATTCTCTGAAAGCTGTTGTTCATAAAGAATGACTCGAATATTATTTTCGTCTCGTCGTCTTTTAGCGAAGCTATACTTTATTCACGTTGCCTCGGCGATCGGTTAAAAAAATTTCACTCCCCGAACATGAAAATAGTATGTATTCCCACTTTTTTTTTTCCTTTTTGTTACTTAAATATTGAAACGTTATTGTTACTCGGGTCATTAACTTACGACTTAAGACTTAAGCTGTATAAACTTGAACCTACTACTTTTTTGTAACGTGATTTATATCAACGCGTGTGCACGCCAATATTAGACATACGTTCTTAAATTCGTATTTACAATATGTACAGTGAATAACTTTTTATCTCGTTCTTTTCCGCGTTTAATGCCACTTAGTGTGATTATTGCATCGAGCCATGTCTCTCGCTCTTTTTCTCTCTCTCTCAACACACACACACACACACACACACACACACACACACACACACACACACACACTCTCTCTCTCTCTCTC